CTGGCTGAAGGCTATCATGGTATGATTTCTAACCACAATGGAGAGCTCATGGGGAAAGAAGAGTGTCATATCTGAATTGCAACTACTTCCTTTTCCCCAATCTCATTATTCTTCCCTCCCTAGCTCCTGCTGATCAATTCAGTCCAGAAGAGGCACAGAGCTCATTCTGAGTCACTGTATGGTTGTATTTGGAACATTGTATTTTTACTATATCCCATGGAATATATCCCTGAGAAAAAATGGAGTAGCCCTCATAGTCAAAAAAAGAGTCTGAAATGCAGTACTTAGGTGCAGTCTCAGAAACAATAGAATGATCTCTGTTTGATTCCAAGGCAAACCATTTAATATCACAGTAATCCAAGTCTATGCACCAACCAGTAATGCTGAAGAAGCTGAAGTTCAACAGTTCTATGAAGACACTCAAAATCTTCTATAACAACACCCAAAAAAGATGTCCTTTTCATCATTGGGGACTGGAATGCAAAAGTAGGAGGTCAAGAGATACCTAGAGTAACAGGCAGATTTGGCCTTGGAGTACAAAATGAAGCAGGGCAAAGGCTAACAGTTTTCACAAGAGAACACACTGGTCATAGCAAACACTTTTCCAACAACAAAAGAGATGACTGTACACATGAACATCACCAGATGGTCAATATCGAAATTAGACTGATTATATTCTTTGCAGCCAAAGATGGAGAAGCTCTATATAGTCAGCAAAAAGAAGACCAGGAGCTCACTGTGGCTCAGACCATGAACTCCTTATTGCCAAATTCAGACTTAAATTGAAGAAAGTAGGGAAAACCGCTAGACCATTCAGGTATGACCTAAATCAAATTCCGTACGATTAGACAGTGGAAGTGACAAATAGATTCAAAAGATTAGATCTGATAGAGTACCTGAAGAACTATGGATAGAGGTTTATGACATTGTACAAGAGGCAGTGATCAAGACCATCCCCCAAAAAAGAAATTCAAAAAGGCAAAATGGTTGTCTGAGGAGGCCTTACAAATAACTGAGAAAAAAAGGGAGGCTAAAGGCAAAGAGAAAAGGAAAGATATACCCATCTGAATATTCCAAAGAACAGCAAGGAGAGATAAGAAAGCCTTCCTAAGTGAACAATGCAAAGAAATAGAGGAAAACAATAGAATGGGAAAGACTAGAGATCTCTTCAAGAAAATTAGATACCAAGGGAACATTTCATGCAAAGATGGGCATAATAAAGGACAGAAATGGTATGGACCTAATAGAAGCAGAAGATGATGGCAACAATACACAGAAGAACTATACAAAAAAGATCTTCATGATCCAGAAAACCATGATGGTGTGATCACTCACCTAGAGACAGACATCCTGGAATGCGAAGTCACGTGGACCTTAGAAAGCATCACTACAAACGAAGCTAGTGGAAGTGATGGAATTCCAGCTGAGCTATTTCAAATCCTAAATGATGATGCTTTGAAAGTGATACACTCAATATGCCAGCAAATTTGGAAAACTCAGTAGTGGCCACAGGACTGGAAAAGGTCAGTTTTCATTCCAATCCCAAAGAAAGGCAATGCCAAGTAATATTCATACTACCACACATTTGCACTCATCTCACAAGCTAGCAAAGTAAGGCTCAAAATTCTCCAAGCCAGGCTTCAACAGTATGTGAGTCATGAACTTCCAGATGTTCAAGCTGGATTTAGAAAAGGCCAAGGAACCAGAGATCAAATCTCCAACATTCGTTGGATCATTGAAAAAGCAAGAGAGTTCCAGAAAAACATCTACCTCTGCTTTACCGACTATGTCAAAGCCTTTGACTGTGTGGATCACAAAAAACTGTGGAAAATTCTCCAAGAGATGGGAATACCAGACCACCTAACCTGCCTCCTGAGAAATCTGTATGCAGGTCAAAAAGCAACAGTTAGAACCAGGCATGGAACAACAGACTGGTTCCAAATTGGGAAAGGAGTTCATCAATGCTGTATATTGTCACCTTGCTCATTTAACTTATATGCAGAGTACATCATGTGAAATGCCAGGCTGGATGAAACACAAGCTGGAATCAAGATTGTAGGAAGAAATATCAATAACCTCAGATATGCAGATGACACCACCCTTATGGCAGAATGCAAAGAGGAACTAAAGAACCTCTTGAAAGTAAAAGAGGAGAGTGAAAAAGCTGGCTAAAAACTCAACATTTAAAAAACTAAGATCATGGCATCTGGTCCCATCACTTCATGGCAAATAGATGGCAAAACAAAGGAAACAGTGACAGACTTTGTTTTCTTGGGCTCCAAAATCACTGTAGATGGTGACTGTAGCCATGAAATTAAAAGAGGCTTGCTCCTTGGAAGGAAAGCTATGACCAACCTAGCATATTATAAAGCAGAGACATTACTTTGCTAACAAAGGTCCATCCAGTCAAAGCTATGGTTTTTCCAGTAGTCATATATGGATGTGAGAGTTGGATTCTACAGAAAGCTGAGGGCCAAAAAATTGATGCTTTTGAACTGTAAAGTCCTTTAGACTGCAAGGAGATCAAACCAGTCAATCCTAAGGGAAATCAGTCCTGAATATTCATTGCAAGGACGGATGCTGAAGCTGAAACTCCAATACTTTGGCTACCTGATGGGAAAAACTGACTCACTGGAAAAGACCCTGATGCTGAGAAAGATTGAAGGCAGAAAGAGAAGGGGATGACAGAGGATGAGATGGTTGGATGGCATCACCAACTCAATAGACATGAGTTTGAGCAAGCTCTGGGAGTTGGTGATAGACTGGGAAGCCTGGCATGCTGCAGTCCTCGGGGTCTCAAAGAGTCAGACAGGACTGAGGGACTGAACTGATCTGAACTGATGGAATGGAAGGACATTGTAGATCTATCTTACTGGCAAAAAAAAAAAAAAAAAGAAAATCAACCAAAGCATTGTACCTATTTAGTGCTAAATGTCTTAGGAATTGTAGAAGCTTTTGAGAAATCCCACCTAAATAAGAAATGACATTTGTACCCTCAGGTTCTTATAAGTGAAGAGAATTTCGGGAATCTCCAGGTTGATGACTCATAACTTTTCCAGTGTTTAATTCTCATGAGCCATTGATTAAAATAGGGTGTAACACTGTATGTTTCTCTCCCAGCAAAGCTATTCCCATCAATTTGGAAGTTTTGGAAGCTTCTGCAAGCCCCTAGGATATAATTTCATGCATAAAACCATTGTATTTGAAATGATATTTGAGGTACGTTGGAAAAGTTTTTTTTTTTTGCAGCCTCCACAGTGCACAAATCTGGATGAAGAGTATTTCCCATGATGCACTGAAAGGTCAGTGTTCCCATCTTGCTCTCCTCCTGAAGGCTGGAGTTAATGAGGAAGAGTTTGTATGTGAATGTCAGGCATGTTGCAATAACTAGCCACAATGGAATAGTCATGGCAACTTCCATCACTTGGTTTTTTTGTTTTTGTGATGTTGCTGCATGCTTCATTTTATGAGTATTTTCTTTTCTTGTGTGTGGTTGAACCCATCTATTGCCATCTTGGGCTTGGATACTTGTATTTAAAAGGAGAGGAAGAACAGAGGGAGAAACTGGAAAACTGACAGAATGATATATCCTAAGAACTTATTACTTTGTTTTACTCCCTCCACTTCTGCTGACAGATATTCTGGTGATTAATATTCTGATGAGTCTGTGACTTTGGGAAAGGGAAAAAAAAAATGCCTTCCCTGAACAGAATCTTGAAAAGCAGATCGTAATGAGACATAGGAAATATTGTGAAAACTGGACTTTTTGGTGACTTCATATCTTGGATACAGACCAACTCTAGTAATATTATTTCTGAAATAAGATAAATGAAAATTGTCAACAGTATTTGGTAAACCATTTGTATACTTGAGGGCTTTTATCTTGATCATAGCATCTACCACCTGAATGGTAATTTATATTTTAGTGAGAGCCCTGGAATAGAATATAAGGAGTGGTGACAATCTAAGTGTCTTAGATACCCTCATTCATTTTATTCATGAGGGTGAATAATATTCTCACTGTAGACAGGTCTAACTGGGGAATATCCTGTGCTTTACATACATTGACTCCCAAGGTGGAAATCTGCACGTCTGTGGCAGTACATGTACGGGACCAATAATAGTTGGCTTTTTGGGGACAGCCTCTTGAGGATTGTGACCAAATCAAGCAGAAGTGCTGGGATCACTTCAGAGGTAGGGTATGAAGCTGAGGATGTTGAATTCTTAAGAAGAATGGTCCACTCTATAGATGCAACATACACAGGGAACGTGCCTCTATTCCTAGCAGTCTGTATTTACAATTTTACATCCTTGTAACACTTTCATCACCTTCTTCTCTTGTCTGCCTATTCTTTACTTTAAAAAGTTGCCAAAGTAATCTTCACCCATCCATTTTCAAAGTTACATGCATCCAATCGTATATTAGAAAGGCTCTTTAGCCATTTTTTCACTTTTTAGTTTTTCTCTACATTTTACTACTGATTTTTTCTTTTAAACTTGTTTATGCTTTGACATCAACTCTTGTCGAAATGCTGACACTTTTACACGTTAAAAAAAGGACGAGCCAGTTCAACAAATAAGGCCCAAGAGGAAGGTGAAGTGTCTCCCGGCTGTTAGCCAGTTCTGGAGTTCTTTGACTCTCAGGGCACGGGAAGGACTGTGTGCTTGGTCGCGTCGAGAGGGAGACACAGACTCGGCCTTCGAATTGGCCAGCCTGGTGACCAGCGAGCCCGCCCCTCCTTCCCCCTCCCGCGCTCACACTCAGGAAGCAGCTGGCTACAGGCCGGCCTTCGCGGCCGCACACACATCCACTCTCCTCCCAGGCCGCCTCCTCCCTCCCTCCCTCCCTCTCTTCCCCCTTCCCCTCTCCCGCAGCCGCGTCCACACTGCGCCGCCAGGGCAGCCCAGAGCGCTGCGCGCACGGGCACCAGAGCTGGGGCCGCCACCACTGCCCCTCCCGGCAGCCAGGTTCGCTGCTCGCTACCGTCTAGGCTCGCGTCAGCTTTCCCCCGACGGAACCCGCCGCAAGCAATTAGCCAGCATCCCGAACCGGCCCCCAGACGCACCCCAGGCCCAAGGCAAGGATGAGCAAGACGCGTGAGGCACAAAGCCGAAACTCAACTTTTTAAAGATATTATTTGCTTTGTGTGCGTGTGTGTGTGCGTGCGCGGGGGGGTGGAGGGAGGGGGAAGCAGCAGAATGAGCTGATGCCGAGGGTACAGCCACCCCACTTCTGCCTGCCTCCTCCTCCCCCTAAAGCTACTGCCCTAGCACACGCGCGCGCACACACTGCACTTGGGCCGGGTTTCGGCGCTCTGTCCCCCGGCTTGGATGGGAGTTTTCATTTCCGAAGGAGGCAGAGCCAGGGGAGCGCGCTGAAGGGCTGGAGCCCCAAGTTTCTCCTCACCAGCGCTGGCTGCCCGCTGTCATTCGCTCAGGCTGGCCGGGGGAAGGGACCCGCACGCCAGGCTTTGTTGTGGAAATCCCGGGTTACCTGGTAAGTGGATGCCATAGGAACTTTGCTAGTAGGCGAGTCGAGAGAAGCAGGGCGCTTGAGAGTGGGGGAGTTACAACGCTCAGAGATACAAACTAGGGATTAGAAATATTTACACTCTGAGCTGCTGGCGTGGTTTAAGAATACGGGCACCCCAACACCCATATTCTCTAAATGATCTGTTTACTGAGATAGCAATTCTCAATTAGGAATCAAGCTGTGTTCTTGTCAGTTCCCTAAAAGCATTGAAAGTAGAAGAGGGAAAGGAAATCAACAAGGTTTTAAAGTTTTTCTATTTAGGAAGACTTTTTGTTTGGGGCTTTTCTTCTAAACTAGAGGGTCCAGAAGACTACAAAATCAGGGCAAGTCACAGTACGCAAGGCATGTCGTGCACGCCACCCATGAGTCCTCCCTGAAGGGAGACTCTGGAGAAGTGGGAATTGATGGGTTGACATGAGGTCTCCCTCCCTCTTTCCAGTTCCACGTGCTTGTGGAGCTCTAACGAAGGCTGTTTTCCATGCTGTGTCTCACCCAATTCGATGTCCCTCCCTATTGCCCAGAGGTCCTCCGGTAAGGGGATACGTTAACTCCTCCTGGGGACGGGTCCAGCGACTCGCAGCTGCCAGGTCTTGTAACTAGAACTATAACCCACATCGCAAACTGCGCAGATTCAGACTCTCACACACCCCACCAGGTTCGTCACCTCGCGTTTACATTTTTATAGGGCTCGACAAAATGTCAGCACTGTTTGGAAAATGTCTCAGTCTCAGGGACTTTGTCCTGCGCAAGACTCCAGTCCCTATAAATGACCCTGTGTGTATTTTGAAGTCGCCCGAGGCCGCTTTCTGGAAAGCGTGAGTGAGCAGCCGGCTTTCTCCTAAACACACCTTGCCTGGAGCGACACTTCCAACTTACTCACTGGAGCCGACAAGTCACTTCGGTGATGAGGAAGTCACCCAAGTGTCTGGAAAACTTGGCCCTGACGGATTTGTCATCCTATGGATGATTCAATTAGGTACCTGTAGGGAGAAACTTTCTGAAAGGTCGTCTCTGGTTTCCCGGGTCGCACCCTCCACTTCTTGAGGGGGGGGGGGGTGTCTAAGAGGCAAGAAGTGAAAGAACAAGGATTTTTAGGACGCTAGCGCGGTGCGGGCTCTGGGCCACGCAGGGCGTTCGGCGCGGGGACGTGCGCTCCCGGGAGCGGCGAGCAGGGCTGCGGCTGCCTCCGAATCCCGGCTTGGGCCGGGCAGCGCGCTGGTTTCTGCCTCCTGGGCTCCGCAGCCGCCGACCATCGGCGGCGCGCATTCGGTCCCGACTTACTCAGGACTGGGTTGCACAACAGGAAGCCTGAACGAGTTTGTTTTGTTTTGCTGCGCTCGCTTGCGGACAAGGCCGAGGGTTAGGGGCAGAGCGGCCAAGGAGTAACGGGGTCGCAGCAGCGCATCCCAAGCAGGTCTCTGTCGCCTCGGCCCCGGACCCGCCCCTCGCTCCATGCCTGAGAGCCCAGGGGCGCGGGCCTTGAAACCCCGCGGGCCAAGATGGGGGGCGGCGAGGGTCAGGAACTGATAAAGGCTGCCGTCTCCTGCTCTGCCTCACGCGCTTCTTCGCTCGGCAGGTCCCTGGCACCCTCCCCCCACCACCCGCTTGATATTCCTCATCCTCTTACTGTTCTTTCCTGGGGGCATCATCTGGGCCCTTATCCCAGCAGCATCTAAATCCAGGGCAGAGGTGGAGGGTACTTCCGGAAATTCGAGGACTTGCGGCCCCCTCGTACACAGAAGAGGGATTTGTACTCTTCCCCACCTACTTCCAGGAGCATCTCTCCTGAGTTTGGGCCTGGGGCTCCGGAGTTTGAGGAGAGGAATGTTCTGCAGCTCCCCCCAGTGGACCAGTTCCCTTTAGGTTGTGGAAGGAGGGAATCGCAAGTAAAGATCACAAGGCTAGATGGGGATCTTGGTGATCACCTACAGATGAGGAAACTGAGGCCAAGAGACTTTCAGGAGTTTTGCCCCAGACCTCAGAGCCAGTTGTCACAGTCGCAGGGCAAGCACTCAAGTTTCCCAGTTCAGAGAGCATTTCTTGGCCTGAAGGTGAACTCAAGACAAATGCAGTCTCATTCTGCCCGCTCTGAAAGCTTTGATGAGTCATGATTTCTGCCTTGGGAGTTAGCCAGACGTCTGTTTCCCTCTCTGCAGCATTTCCCACTGGACCCCCTTTTTTACATAAATGGGAAAACTTTTTTTTTTTTTAAAGATTGATTTGTGTTGGTTTAAATTTTTTCATTCCTTCTTTTCTTCCTCCTCCAAGTTTTCTTAAGGTGAAGTGTGAAACAGGTGCAACCTGCAAAAGTTTTTAGAAAAAAGATCTGCCACAATGAATATTTGAAGCCGTTTAGAAACAGGAGTGTGTCATATTACATGTTATATTTGCAGTTGGGAGCTGTTGAAGTTTAAGGATCACCTTTGAATACATTACAATTTTCATATGTTTTCACTAGTCGTCTGTGTAGCCAGACTAGCACTAACATTACCTTGAAAAGGAAGAATGGGGGATTTCTTTTCCGGTCACTTTCAAATTCTTTTCCTTATTGGTAGTTGAAGTCCTTTCCTTTGTTGTTCAGAGGACTCAGTAATCTTTCAGTGTGAATAGCTAATCTAATTGTTGCTCTAACTCCCTCTCCTCTTGGTTCACATTAAGCCAGTTTTAGAGAGCATCTTGTGGCTGGTCCCTGATCTCATCCAAGTTCCTTAATAGTAGTGGGTTTGTCAGATATTGAGTACTTATGGTCAGACGATGTTCTTGGGAGGAAGTGATATGATTCTGAATAGAAAAAGCAACTTTTTTTTTTTGGATGGACTCCAGGGTCCACCTAGCAGGTGACATTCCTATTAGGCCAAAATAGGCAGGGTGGGTAGGTTAAATAGCAGCAAATTATGTTTTGTACCAGCCTTGCCTTCACTTATATGGCAGAAAGTGGTCTCCATCGTTTCAGAAGATAGCTTAGTGTTCTCCATCTTTTTCTCTCAGTATTCTTTTCTGCTGGTAACTTAATTTGATGACATTCTTTCTAGTGTTGTCTCATATTGTCATTATTGATCTCAAGTTGGAATGTTAATTTGTAGTTCTTCCAGGATATATAAGGAGTAATTCTTGAGGGAGATAATTCAGTAAGTGCCATCCTATGTACATTCTCTTTCTTGGAGAAATCATTTTCTGTGTTTCAATAATTATTTTCTATAGACATTATTATAAAGAATGCTGAAATGCAAGACTTGACATGTAACTTTTCTCAAAGTTTAGTTGGGTCATAGGCTCAGGACTGAAAATAAAAACACAAACAAATGGCATATAGGAAATCTGTGCAATAAAACTGTGCTGCCTTATGCTTTCCAGGAGGGTTACATTTCCAGTAAGGTCTTTAAAATGACATTAATACATAGTTTGATTAAACTGAACACAACTGAATAAGTAGCATCTGCATTTCAAGAAATGGAACATTACCAATAGCCTAGAAACTTGACTCTGACTCTCTTCTCATTGCTGTCTTCCCCCATCTCGTGCAGCCACTGTGTTCTCCTCAAGTGTAATGACTGCCTTAACTTCTAACACATGGAATAATTTTGCCCATTTTTTATGCGTTATGTAAATGGGATAATTCAATACGCACTCCTGAGTTTGACTTCTTTTGCTGATATAATAGCCTTTTAGTAGGTCAAATAATTTGGACTTCCCTTTAAAGTTTAGGAAACAGTTTGACTTGCAGAAATTAGTTGTTCAGGCATTACTTAATATGGTAGAGTTAAGGAAAAACACCAATGAAACAGAAGCCCTGTTCTCTATCCTGATGACTGTCTGATTAGGGAGACTAAACAGATATGAGTGAAACCATAAAGTGAAGCCAGCTTAGGGTGAGCAAGGAGAATGCTGAGGAGCAACTTCCACCATGACAACCCAACATGCATTTGGCAGTCTCTCTGTTAGGACCAACAACCCCCATGACAAAAAAATGCCTGGTCTCAGTACTGAAGTGACTGTATTTGTTTTGTGGCTTTCAGCTAGGATTTTTCATTGTTCACGAGTATGCCAAGATAAAGACAAGAATAATATGCCTGTTCAGAAGAGTGGGATAGACTTTTTATGCTGCTTTGTTCTAATAGAGAAAGGAATAGACTAGGAGGAATAGACCAGGAAGCACACAACTGTAATTAAACTGGTTCCACAAGACACAGAGCTTAGGGTTTATGGTCACACCTTACTTAGACTATATTTATTCAGGCAATAAATGACAAATATAGGATATGAATATGTAAGTATATAATTATATATTGATTTATATGATAATTTTCAGTATAAATAGGCAGTACAGTGTGATAAATACAAGTATAATACATATATGTGCATACATGTATATGAAAAGTCAATATATATGACATATGTAGTGTGAAAATATAAATATATAGGTATATCAGATAATTTATATACCTATAAGGACTTGGGAGAACTGGATAAATTATACAGAGTACCAAAACTTAATGAAATTAGAATTTAGACAGGAAGGTGAAACACAGGCAAATAACTATAAGGCAATGTGGAAAGTTATGAATGTTAAAGGAGATGTATGTAGAATGAAATAGTCAACATGTATCACATCGTTCTAGGTGCCAGGCACTGGGCTAAACAAGTAACATGCATCATCTCATTTAATGTTCTGTAATGCTATGAACTAGGTATAATAGTATAATCCTCACCATTTTACAGATCAGTGACAGAGGTAGATTAAGAGAGGATCAGAGAAAGCCAAAGGTGGGGTGGCCCTGGCAGGTGACTAGAATCTGGATTTGGGGGAACAGAGGGCAGAAGAAAGGAGGAAGGGAAGGACCACTCAGGTGGATTCAAAGACAGTGTATAGAATGAACAGAAGCAGGGATCCAACCATGTTCTACTTTGGGAACAGAATCAGGAGACTGAGTTGTAAAACTGAGATAATGAAGGCTCTTAAGTAG